TCGGTGACTAGTACACAAATCAACCTAAAGATGAGTTTTAAAGTGGATTTTCAAATACTGCAATTCGGATGGTTTATGCTAACCAAAAATTATTATAAATCAATTAAATGACGCATATCTTTAGCCTATATAATAATAACTAAGTGTTCAAACATACTCATAATAATGTGTTAAAATTGGACTTAATTTCTATCAACACAACCAAAATCGAAGTATGGCTTATTTAGAGTGAAGGTCCTCACTATCACAGTCAAAGGGAAATATAATTAACAAGTAAAAGTAAGTTTACAAGTACTATTTTTATTATTAAATTACTAGATTTTGTCTTGTCTTTCTGGTATCAAGAAGTTCTGTACATACTGATTGTCATATTATTAAAAGTCACAAGGAAATTTGGCAATGCCAGATATAATAATCAAAATGCACAATGTCAAATTATTAACTATAGTTTGATGATAATGTTAAACCACAAAAGTTTATGAAATTAAAGAATTTTTTGTTACGGATTAACCATATATGAAATACTTATATTATACTGTATGTAATGCTGACAAATTCATATATCGACTAACAGTATATGATAAAAATTTAACTGATACAGTAAATACATGTAGTATGTACATGTAATTAATTTTTTGACGATAACGATAGTAATATTGTTACAACTTACAAGGATCAGGTGAATTCACAATAATCCAGTGTCTGCAATAATACAATTTATTATTGCTCTTGTGTTGGTTTGATGTCATTGTCGTGATTATTATTATTTGACGAATGTAAAAACAATTCTCTCATTTCGTTAAAACTGTCTATCGATTGAGAGTCTTTACCTTTATTTTCTGCACAGTCGTTGAAAGTATGTTCGTTACTTGTCTTATTTACAGGAACTGGTACTTTTTTCTTGGTCAATAAAGACTTGCAATATTCTGTTGTAGCGGTTTTCAGATTTATGTATTTTAATTGCTGGGATTCGAATTCTTTAAAAGACTTTGTTGCAGATCTTGAAACTTTGAATTCACTTATTTGACGAGATTCATCGGGATTCTTACAATCTATAGTCTTATTATTAAAGACAATCATTGGCAAAGTTAAACTGTCTTGCAAATGTTTTTTCATTCTAATCAAATCAACTGGGATTCCGTGTAATTCTTTAACAGACAATACTCGTCGAAACTTGTGGTTTGAAAATTGATGGCTTTCCTTACATTTCTGAATGTAAGCAATCGGTGTAAGAATGTTGCATGTCTTACATTTATACAACGTATAAATTCGGAGAAAAGAGTCAAAATTACTTATAAATCTTGTGAAGTGTAGATTCTTGCTATTCATTTGATTCAATGTCTGTCAATAAGATTTATTTTACATAAAAATCAAACCTATTAGAAAATGAGATACTAACTGGTCAAAAACTTTTTCCAATGTGTCAAGTTCAACCATGAGATTGTTCAAGTTCTCCAGACGAATAAATTCATGTTGTTGATCACTTACTCTACTCCGAGTTAACTGGCCAATACTACATGTAATACATTTTCCAAGAATATCGGTTTTAGTTGTGGTTGAGTATTTCCCGCAAAGACGACAATGATATATTTGATTCGAACGGAACCAATCAGGAAGAGATTCTAAGAATCGATTGTATTCGATTACACATTCTTTTGAATTCATTTTAGAATTGGAAAACGTATTATTATTGATGTTGCAACTATTTAGAATTACACAGCTCAAAATCTGATTTTATTACGAATTAAATAAAAGTTTAATATTTAGATCAATCAATCAACCTTCCTTTCTACATTGTTAAATTACATCATCATCAAATTTGTCAATATGAATTTATTAGCGTTATCTTCACCTGTACATTATTTACATGATGCGTTATGTTTCAGCTTTAGATTGAATAATCAGTGACTCTGATTAATATTTACTTTGATCATATGCTTTGAATGGTTCTTTATAGCAAATCTAATTTAAGAGATATTGCCGCAAAGAGACCTAAATTGTTAATGCATTAATTGTCTTCTAGTATATTTATTGCCTCTATTCGTTCATGCTATTTGTCTGCTCAAGAGAATTATAATTTCAGTTGGTAGCACGTACGCAAACTACATAATTATATCTAAAATGCTTCATTGAAGATGGTATATTTATCAACTTGTTAAATACATATGCAACAAACTTTGTCATCAGTATGCGTTAAATCTATGATTGTAATGCTCTTACAAGCTCTTTAAAACTTCATAAAAATTCTTTATTTTATAAATCATTCAGTCTAATTTCACACAATTTTTAAAATCACATTTATTTATTAAAATTTACTCGTTAATTAAAAAGTAATATTACTTTATAAATTCTTGATGTAATGATTCTTATGAAGAAGTCAAAGAAAATCATTATAAATAAATATCTACAAATATGGATAAAATATTATTGCATATTAAAATGAAACTTAGAAAGACAAATGTAATATATAAGATAAAATAATTCAGGAATGATAACAGAATACTACATATCTAAATTATAATATTTATATGTAATTTCAAAGTTAAATAAATGACTAAAGGTGTTATGGTTTTAACTACCAAATAGAATATATTTTTTCGAGATCGAAAGATTCAACCATTTAGGGAGCTCGATCATGACCATTTTCTTTAGCCTTTTGATACCATATTAATGCTAAGTCAAGATTTTTCGCGTTACCTATTCCATATTGATAAGATTAAATTGTGCCTTATTGTGTCCAGCCTCTGCAGTTTTTAAATACCAATAAAATGCGTTGTTATCATCTCTGATTGTTCCTTCTCCATATTCAAAACATTGTCCAAGTCTAAAATGAAAATGAGAATTACCATTATTAGACGAAGTTAAAAGGAATTTAAATAAGATTTTTTCCATATTTTTTGAAATTAATTTTCTTTCGTAACTATATTTTAAAAGAAATGACTTTTCACATGACCGGAATAGCAGACTTTAAAAAAACTCCAATGCTTATCATTATCTATTTCTATTTTGCCATTACTGTATAATAAAGCAAGTTTATATTGTGCGTGACGTTCTCCTAACTTTTCGGCTTTCAAGTACCACTCAAATGCTTTTTTCTCATCTTTTTGTGTTCCGATTCCACTTACATAACACCAACCAAGCTTATTTTGCCCTCTAGCATTTCCACTCTCTGCAGATTTAAGTACCACTCAAATGCTTTTTTCTCATCTTTTTGTGTTCCGTTTCCATATTTATAAAAATAACCAAGATTACATTGTACTTCAATAATAAAGGCTGGTCCGAAACGGCGTTTATTATTTGAACTAAAAGATCAGATCATAATAATAACACTCACAATTAATATGTAATTCCAAAAATAGAAAGCGGAGTTGTAATAATTGTTATCATTTGCTGATATATGACTCAATTATGCAATCAATGCCCAAAATTTGCAATCAAAAAAATTCACAATTCTTAAAATTCACGATCAAAAAATTCGCAATCAAAAAAAATTCACAACTCTTCTAAAACTCGTGTTGAATTTTGTCTCTAACTATCCATTTCGATATCGTTACAATATAAATGAAATTTTGAACACATAACTTCTCAAAAAAAAGTAACATTAATGGTTCACGGTTGCTAAATGGTAAAGGGACGTATACGGGAAAATACCTATTAATGATGTTGCAATAAAGTAATCTTTCTTTATAATTATAAATACAGATAGCAACAGTTAGAAAAACCATAAAATTAAAATTGAATATTTTCAATTAGTTACGCATTTAGATTCTATAATTAAACTTTTAAAAGAAATTGATCTGAATGATCAAAATTCTAAAGATCATAATTCCAGTTCTTATATGAAAAGCATTCCAGAGTAAGATTATATTGAACTTAAGTAAATTTTTGCAAGGAATATTTTTTGTTAGAACAAAGCAATAAACTTTTAAGATTACAACTTTTTTCGGGTTAATACGCTTTCCGGATTACAGGCAGACCATTATAAGGATATGGTCAGAACACAAAATAATTATAATTATATTCCTATGAAAAGAGAAAACTTAATATATTTTATTGAAAAATGGTTCCTATAAGAATTTGCTCTTATATATCTTTCAGGATTGTGTTCCTTCGGGATTTTATTTTTTCAAGATTCTGTTTTCGAAGTTGTGTTCTTTCGGGATAATACTATAAAACAAAGTGTATGCTTTTACCTCGTTATGTTCACAGTAGCTTTTAATAATGTTTGATTTTTTTTTGCTTTGTATGACAAATACTATATCATGCTATGAATGAATTTAATTAAGGTGAATTTATACCTCAAGTGAAAATAACAACTGCAAGTTATCTTCAAAAATACTTATAGCTTAATATCATAAGTAGACGATGACAGTTTCACATACAATCATTTCAGCATGAAAATAAATTATCTTTAATAAATATAATAAAGATAGAATTTCTGTTGAATTTGCACATTGTACAGCAAAGATTTCAGACTGTTCATTAGCGTTAGTATCGGCATTGATGAGTGAACTAAAAGATATTTTGTCTCATATCATTAGATATGTCACGAGTTGAATAGCATTTGTGATTTCAAATAAATTAAATTGATTCAGAATAAACTCAATATAACTTTTTTATCAATAATATAAAACGGTAAATTATTTAGAATTATAGTATATACTTTTTATTAAAAATTGGAACCATTTTATCAAAAAAATTAGGTAATTTAGTTAAAACAAAATAAAGTTTTAATCCTTATTAAAAAAATATTATGTTTTTAAGTAAAACTATAATTCTTAATAATGGGATAATTGCAATTTATTGATATTTAATTTTGAAAGCGCTCCGATTTGTATCTGTAACAAGATGGTTTTATTAAATTTACCGTCCCCTTTTTTCGTTGTTTATTTTTTTTTGCTGTCAAACAACATTGTTTTACAGTATGTAATGACATCAACTCTAACCCAAATGATGATGTAGATTAGAGAAAAATTCTCGCCTTTATCGATATGGAAAATATGAAAGTTAACAATCGCAAGAAAAATGAAGTTCACGACGCTACCACAATTTTGTTAAAGACAATCGAACTGAAAATTTATCACGGCCTGTAAGAACAGAAGTTCTTAATACTAAAGGAAAAAGAGCATTTTATACAAAAAGTTAATGTTCGCAAACCATTATGCGGGTGAATTAAAAACTAATTTGCAGTTTGTCAACTGCTACAATGTACCACATAACTTTGGAGTTTGCTCTTATATTACTGCAGAAAAGCTTTCCATTGAGTAGTACAATCGGACGAATTACTTGTGAAAAATACCCCTACGATTGTAGACCATAATTTTTTCGGATGAAACATGCGTAAAAATGGTTGATACTTATATATTTTGTAATTACATAACAGTCATGGCATTTTTTCGAGACATTACAAACATCGATATGTACAGTCACTACAATAAAGTAACGTCCGATTTGCTGTGTAGCTTAGACAAATACATGTATATGCGTCGTGTTTTTCCTTTTCTGTTATTGTTTACCTTAAATTTTTTTATTTTCTTCTTTTTTTTTAAACATACAATAGACGAAATTTTGTTAGGTGTAAATATGATATCTATCATACTAGTTGGCCGGCGTAGACAAGAGTAAAATAATAATTTTTATTGAAGTTATGAGTGTCAAGTAAACTGTAAGAAAAATGTGCCATAATCTGATGATATTATAATGATCTCTTGCCAAGTAAAAAAGTACAGAAAAATGAAAATTTATCGCCAACTGGATGACCATAAGCTCTTAACAATAAAAAAAGCATATATACAAGAAACAAAAATAGACATCTTGAGCTATTTTATGATATGGGTCAGTGTAAAAATATTTGTACTTCAAAAGAAAAATTAATATTTGTTTCTAAAAAAGTCATTCAAATTTTAATTAATTTTATATTTTTTTATACTAAATAAAGTAATGATCTAGATTAACTTTTTATACTATTTTATTATTCTAAATACTTTAATTTAATAATAAATCAAGCAATACTTTCTAAAAAAAATACATTTTAATTATTATTACTATCAATTTATAATATTAGAACTTTCAAATTATATAAGCAAATTGCTATGTATTTGATAAAAATTATTTTAATTTTCATAGAATTGAATCATAGTTAAAAGAAATTAAAACTCAAGATTTAACAATTAAATTATTTATTATATTAATTTTAATCAAATTTTATATAGTAAATTTATGAAATAATAATTCAAAAAATTGATTAATAAAAAACTTTTATAAAGATATATAAATAAAATATATATATTTAATACCTAATATAAGTTAGTCTTATATAGTAAAGACTTGATATTGTAAAGATTGTATTACAGTGGTGAGCAAAAAATTTTGAAAAAATTTCATATAATTTTTTTTCATATATATAGATTTATTAAAAATTACTATCAAATTTAGATATAATTAATCAAACTTTAAATTTCAAGACTTAATTATACTTTATTCATATATTTTTGATATAATTTCTTTCTCAAAAAAATAATCTAAAGTATATAAGTTATCAAATTAAAAAATTTCTTCAAAAAAAATTTTAATCATAATAGTTTGACTATCTAATAGCTTTAATCTTAATTCTATTAAAATCTTATAGAATATAATTAAATAGAATATAGAAAAGAGAAAATCATAAAATTTGAAAGATTTAGAAATATTTATAATAAAAAAATAAGAGTTAATCAATAATAAAATTTACAAAAATTTGATTAGTTCAATAAAAATAAGATGTAAGAAGATTATTAAGACAAATAGTAAAAGAATAATTATTAATTTTTTTATTATATAAATCTTATATTATTATTTTATCAAATAAAAAAAAGTTTAGTAAAAAATAATTATTAATCATCAAGAAAAATCTTATGAAATAATTCCAAAATTTTTTGCTTACCACTGTATATATATATTATTATAGTTCTAAATAATAAATTTTATTAAGAATTACTATAAAGAATAAAGAATTAAGAAACTTAAAAATAATAAAAGAAATATAAATATTAGTAAAAATTTTTAAGATTTATATTAATATCTATAAATATTATTATAAAAAAAATAAAATTACAAAAATAATTTAAGAAAAAAATAGAAATATAAAAAAAATTAAAATAAATTAAAAAATTTATAATAATTAATAAATAAAGCTATTAATATTAGAAAAAACTAAATTAAAATATAAAATAATTAAAAATATAAATCAAATTATAAAAATAAAAATAAAAATTATAAAAATATAATGAATCAAAAATATTAAAATTAAAAAAAATATTAAAGTAAAAATTTAAAATAAAATCAATATAATATTATAATATAATTAAAGAAATAAAATTAAATAGAAAAAAAATATTAATATAATTAAAAGAAATTAAAGATTATTATTATTATTATTATAATAATAAGTTTTTTAAATTATATTTTTTAAATAATTTAATTAAAACTATTTATTTTTAATTTGAAAAAATAAGTTTTTTATATATTTTTTAAATATAAAAATTATTATAATATTACTAATTAATATTATCTAATATATATATTATAATTTTATATTAAAATTTTAATATTAATATTTTAAAATCAAAATTTTAATATTAATATTTTAAAATTAAAATTTAAGATTAAGATTTTTAGAAGAAATAAATATAAAAGAAAAATATTTATAAATATATTATTATTTTTTTAATATAAGATTATTCTAAAAATAAGTATTTATTTTAAATTATCAAAATTATATAATAAAAGTAATTATATATTTTATTAATAATATTATTAAAAGAATCTTTAAGATATATTATTAAGAATATAAATATTATTTTACTAATAATTATCAAAAATTTATTTAAATATAGATAATAATAATATTTATAATATAATCAGTTAGAATATAATTCAATTTTAAAATATATTTTAATAAAAATATAATAAATAATTTATTAATAAGATAAAATAATATATTATTATAAGATCCATTCTATAAGAAATATTTCTTAGAATTTTTTTTATTAAACTTTATTAAAATTTAACTTAATTAAATTGAGTTTTTTATTAGTTAAGATCTAAGATATATTATTTTTATATATTTTAAAGATTTATAAATAATATTTTTATTATAATCTAAATATTATTTTAATTAATATTATAATATTAGTTATATTATAATAGTATTATTAATTTTACTATAATAATTTTATTAACTTTATTATTATAATTTTATTATAATTATCTTATTTATAAAACTTTTTATAAATATCTTTAAATAATATTTTCTTAAACTAATATCTAATAAGATATAATTAATTAATTATCTGATTATATTATAATATAAAGTGATTAATAATAAATAATTAATTAAAGATTTATATTAAAATAAAATTCTCTTTATTAATATTTTGCTTTGTAAAATTTAAAATTAAATATCAAGTTTTTACAAAACTCAATAATTTTTAAAGTTATTATTTATCATTTTTCTAAATTTTATTGATAATAACTTTTTTAAACTTAAAATAAATATTTTAAAATATATTAAAATAATTTACTAATTATATTAATAATTTTTTAATATTATAATAATATATTTCTGATTATAATAGAATTTATTATAAAAAATAAATTTTAATTAATTTTTATAATTTTTTCATATTAAATAAAGAATAATTTAAATTAATTTTTTATATTATTTTAATTATTCTATTAAATTATTACTATAATAATATAAAATTTCTTAATTCCATAATCTTTCTTTAATTATGTAAAATTTTATATTTTATACTTTATTTTATAACTATTCTTATTTTTCTATAATTATATAATTATTTCTTTTATTATATTTATTCTTTATAATTATATTTCTATTTTTAGATATTATATATTATCTTCTTATTTAAGATCTATATTTTTAATTTATCTATTATATATAATTTATATATTTAAAATAGTATATTTAAAGATCTTTCTTTTTAAATATTGAAAAAATGTATTTATCACCACAGATGACAAAATCAGATCACATGATTTTCTAATTAATCATAGTGATTGTCATATAACAATATGATTATTGATATAATCATATTTCACATGATCTATTGATTAAAAAAATCTTGCTATTTTTTTTTTGAGTGAACCTATCCTTCTTTATGAGAATATTAAAATAGCAATAATGAATGATGTACAGTCTAGCAAGAAAATGACAAAAAATTTTCACCTAACAATAATGAAAAATGCAACCTAGTAATGAAGATAAAATATAGGTCAACAGTAGTAAAATAATGCAGTCTAGTAATAATAACAAAATATAGTCCACTAATAACAGCAGTGACAAAACAATATTACCTAGTAACAGTGACGAAATACAGCCTACCAACAATAGCAGTGACAAAACAATATTGCCTAACAATGATGATGAAATACAGTCTACTAATAATACTAACAATGAGAAGAAAGACCCAGCTATCACAGCTACAAGGTATTATATTACTCTTAATTTTCTCTATCAATATTTTTATAAAATACTAACCCAAATCTATTCTTTTACTAGTTCTCTTCCTCTATCATCACTATCAGTGGTATCATCTTTTTCTAGACAAGTCTTTCAAACATGAGATAACATTGATAAATATTTCAATGACTATGCTTCACAAGAGAATTTCATTATTATTAAGATTAGAAATAAATAAGACTCACCTTTAAAGAGAACTTACTGGTGATGCACTTTCACATATAATTATCAAGATACTTACAATCCTAAGAAGACTATAATCCTGAAAAATCAATAAAATAGTAGATCAAAGTGGTCTGGTTGTACTTGGCATATTAATGTAACTTTCTCAAAGAAAGCTGTAATTATTAGTATGATGTTATTAGAACTTAACTATAATCATCTACTCATTCCTATGACTAATATATATACTATAAAAAATCAGATCTTACCTGAGACTATTTTACGAGAAATTCACTTTTACATGATTAAAGGCAATCTTGATATGATAATCCAGTATCAGCTTCTTTCTATCAAGTTTTCTTGTATCACAATATTTCTATATGATTTGTAAAATCAAATACAGAAATATAAGATAAAAAACTGAAAAGAAAATGATATAGCAAGACTTCTAAAATATTTACTTACTAAAAAGATTAAGAAACCAGGTTGTGAGGTATTTTGAAAACTTGATTATAAAATGAATAATCTGAATAAGTTATTTTGGATATCACCAGATCAAGTTCAATGATAGATTATTTATCATGATATTATATTAAATAATAATATGCATAAAATAAACTAATATAATATACCATTTT